CATCCAGCTTCCCGAGGGCCCGCCTGTCCAGAGCAGGTGTAGCCCCGCCCAGAAATTCCCGGGGGTCCACTGTGCCATGCGTGATGGCAGACCCCTTCGGCAGGGAGAACTGTATGTCCTCCCGAGGCAAGCTTACCTCGCCACCTTTACCCGAGGGCGGGCAAGGAGCAGTCGGAGCACTGGGCTCCGAGGCGGAATGCTCGTCCACCACCAACACCAGGGGAGCCTTCTTCCTGGCGTCCCCCTTTTTTTGTTTCTTCCCCTCGGGGATTGGGGCCTTGCCAGCGGCCTTCCGTTTTGCGGCCTCCCCCGAGGGCTCACCGCCCTTCTTCATCTCCCCGAGGGGCTTCTGCTTTACGGGCTCCTTCTGGCCCGGCACCTTCACCTTCTGTTTTTTGAGGTTGGCGAAGGCGTTGAGATCCATATTGACACCTGCAAAAACAATGTGGGGTTAAGATCGAGGGGTCACTAACAGATGGCACAAAAAGAAACGAACAAGCAGATGGACTATCTGCTAAGATATAAAATAAGGGTGCCCTCAGCCACTACCTCTGGAGGCTCCCTTGAACGCCGGGAACTTCTCATCTGTCTCCCCCAGGAAGCGATACCGCCTGAACCCGAGAGTGTAGAGATCCTCCTCTTTGGTGCACTCCTTAATGGTGATATTTTTGTCCCGGCCCTCCGGGATCTTGGCCAGGATCCTACCGTCTTTCTCGAGGGTGGCACTCCTCCTCTTCTCATGCCTCCTAAACCGATCACGCAATTCCCTCGGGAAGGGGCTCTCGGTCAGCTTCACATAGCACCACCGGTCTTTCCACCCTTTGTTCGAGGAGGGCGCCTCAGTAAAGAGCTTGAAGAGGGCCACCTGCTGCAAGTTTGCGAAGCCCTCGGCATTCGCGTGCCCCCCGGCACAAATTAAAGCTCTGGAAGAAGAGGTCCAGGCTAGGCGTCACCCCTCGGGACTTGCAGAGTTGGAGGAAGCCAGTAATATAAGAATGGTTGTTCGGGGTCAGCTGGCAGGGGACCAGACCCACGAACCGAAGGTACTCCCGGAGGAAGGGGTGCAGGGGGAAGCGGAGCCCCATGGATACCAAGAGAACATGCACCGCTATACAGCCCTCGGGAGCCCGGGAGAGGACGTCATCTAGACCCGGTGTCACCACGATGGCCGAGGGGCCCACGTGAAGCTAGGTGACGTAGATGTCCGCCGCATCAACCTTCGACTTTATCTCCAAGGCGGCGGTGTTCAGGTAGGAGTACCCCTCGGGCATATCGAGGGGCTTCCCTTGATCTGCGACGCTGCCCTTCTTCTTGAGAACAGCTACCTTGGCCTTCTTCTTCCCGGGGGCCACCCGGATGGTACACTTACCTAGAGACGCCCCCGGGTTGTGCCCACACAGTACATAACAGTCGCCTTCGGGATCACTCCTTCAGAAGCCCAAGGCTTCATACCAGGCCACCCCTCGGGGATTCCCCCTCAGCACTGTAAGGGCCGGGTAGCCCCCGGGGAGTATGCCTCATTGACGGATAGCCTACGACACACAGGTAATGAGAGCCCTCGGATATCCTCATCACCAACTAATCAGCAAGCACGGGCAATGATCAACTATTGCCCTCATCCATCACGTCCTCGATCCCCAGATTGAGGGGCTACCTTTCGGCACCTCCCAGGACATCAACAGCAAGCCTTCGGCTAATCAACACATGAGCCCTCAGAACAAGGAGAGCCTTCGGCATTACCATTATTCTCCATTTTTGACCAAGGTTTCACATTTTCGATTCATCGTTGGGGGAATTCGGTGCACTCTTTTTCCCTCATTAGGATTTTTTCCCCCAGGGTTTTTCCTAATGAGGTTTTTAACGAGGCATCCCCCCAAAATGAAACGAAAAGCGTCAGCCTTCAGCCCACAACAGCAGCGCAACTACTCTACTTCTTTTCACCACTTTACAAGTGCCTCAAGGAGTGGGGGACCGGAGGATCCCCTCGGGAAAATCATTAAATTACAAAATGGTGAAAAATTCCAACAAACGGCAAAGCAAGCCCTCAAGTCCCGACATGTGGGTAACTGAGGGACTGCCTTCGGCAGGGACATGAAAGCAACGACTCCTCACAAACTTCAGAGATTACAACGGAACAACATCAAGGGGCAAGCACAAATTACTCCTTTTCCCTCAAGTACCTTTCGGCAAAAGGAGTGAGGGACTCCTGATGGAGTATATGGCCCAGGAACCCCCGGCCCACAGACTCCTACTACACCAATAAAGGCCCAACCGGCCCAGGAAGCACAGCAGGCCCCAAATTACGGCGCCCCAAGCACTTAGCAGCCCACAACGCACATTAAGGAGCCTTCGCCCCCCTGGCTGAAGGCTCAAAACTCTCACAGAACGGGTTTTTTAAGCAAACTAAGAAGCTGGGAGAAAAACGACAGAAAACAGTAGCCCTCGGCTCCTGGAGCCCTCGGCACCCAGGGGGTCCCCGGCACTCAGAGCCCTCGGCTAGTCCTCTGCAGCCGAGGGCACCTCTCCCGACATAATATCTGCGCCACATGCGTACAGATCACCGTACCCTGTACAACGTCCCATCCAACAGCCACATTAAATGCGGCCACATGCGGCTGCCAGCGCCAACCAGTTGAGGTGACCTCTCGGCCAATGGACGCTTGACACGTGTCCCTGTCCGGCATTTATTGCTACTATAAATAGCACCCCTTTTCCCCATTTGTAACCACGCTGAAAACGCTCCACACTTATAATATACTTTCTCTCTCTATATTTACTTGCTCCGACTTCTCTCATATTACTCCCCGTAATAACCCTTCAGATAAGTTACCCCCCGGGTACACTATCCATCATTAGTGTCTTATTGGATTTGATTTTTTAATATGAGCTATTCTCTAAAAAAGGAGAGAGTTCATCCAAAAGCATTTTATTTCTCTAACTACTCCATAAAATCAAGAGAATATTACCCGAAATAGGACTTAAAAAATTTGAAAATTCCAAAATAGGGCTGTCATGTTTTTATTTCCAAAATAGGACTAATTACTGTCATGTTTTGGCAGTACCAAACTTGAAACATGGCAGTATTTTCCGAATTTGACAGTAATTACTCCTATTTTGGGAATAAAAAAATATGGCAATCTTATTTTGGAATTTTCAAACTATTTTAGCTCTATTTCGCGAACTTTCCCTAAAATCAATTCTCTATATCATTTCAATTTTATCGGATGTGCCCGAAGGCCGAAGTGACCCATAAAATCAATTCTAAATACTACCTCCGGCTCAGTGGACTTTGCCAAGTGCAAAGTAAGTGAGAAATAAGAATAGTAAAACTTGTGTGATTCAGATTTGTGAAGAGGAGAGAGAAATGTGCAGAACCACATATTAGTTGATTTAATAGGAAAGTGACAAAGTTTTTTGGGAAAACAAAAAAAGAAAGGTCAACAAAGTTCAATGGGATGGATGGAATAGTAAATACCTCGAGTAATAAAAATATGGAATCAGCTTTTCAATAAAGAAAAAATGGAATCAGATTCACGCAAGAAGAAATAATCCCACGGTACAGTAAGGGGTCGTTTGGTTCAGGGAATGTCAGATTACCACGGGAATGTTAGATTGCTGGGTATGTTAGATTGATGGGAATGTATCTGATGGAGTATATTTCAATCCATTCTCATTTGTGTTTGGTTAAGATTAAGGGAATGTGATATTAATTTACTTGGTTGAAAGATATCTTATATTACAGATATGATGAATTACTTCAACGCCCTTTAAATATTTTATCTAAACACAATAAATCTATTACAACCTACATCTGAAGTAATTAAAATTAAAGAAAAAATGAAATATCTTAATAATAAATAAAATCAAATCTAATTGAATTACTACGTATTTTTAAGTAACCTACGTTTAATTGTAAAAAGTTATTGATGGAGTATATGAGCCTGGACCCCAGGGCCCACATACTCGGGAGAACAGAAGGTACCAAGACCAGCTGGTGGGCCCTCGTCGGCCAGATGACCCCCATCGGCCAGAAAGAAGTCCACTCAGAATGTGATCCAGAAGTCGGGAAGAGCGGGGTGACCTCGTCGGCAGGGTCTTCGTCGGCCATGCCCTCGTCGGTCATAGACATTCTCCAGAACAGGATTTACACTTAATCTTTTCTATGTACTTTGTATCCGGCCTATTAGTGGCCCTGTTGTAGATGGGCCTCCCAAGCCCAAGACTTGGGAGCCCAGCCCTAATTTTTCCTATAAATACTCCCTCTGGGAGTAGTTGTAAGGGTTCACGATTCATTAATACAAAGCAATTATATTACCTCTCTCTCTAGCTCTCACTTCTCTCTAGACAAATAATCTATCAGTTGTAGATCGAATTCAAAAGTGAAAAAAAACTTTGTTCAAATATTAATTTAAATATATTTATTATTATTTCAAAAAAATAAAATTTAAAATTGTTCAAGTTATTCATAAAACTTTCTTTTCAAATTAAAGAAAAAATGATCAATTTTGCCATTAAATTTTTAAACCCACTCATCAAAAACTTAAATAATTTATAAATCTTATAAAATAAATACCATAAAAAATTTAAATGTTAAGGAAAAAAGAAGTATTAAAATAACAAGAATAGACATTCAAATATAATTAAATAAACATACTCCACATGTCCCACTTAAAAGGTTATCACATCGACTGACCATAAAATTAACTGATCTCGTTCAATAATAAGATTATTTTTTAATAAATAAAATTTACATATTTAGAAATTATAAAATCGCACTATATAAAGAAATTAAATGAAAAGAAATAATTAATTGAGGGTATTTTCGGAAGAAAATTAGACTATCTTCGGGAATGTAAGATAACCTAAGGCATGCATGGTTATAAGATTCCTATTCATATTACATTTCCAGAAATATAACTTTTTCCATTTTTCTCAAACAAGTGAATCAAAAAATGATATCTGATATTCCGTACGTTAGCCTTCATGTTATATTACCCCAAACCAAACCCTCCCAACCAGTCTCACGGGCCGTGGTTTGTGCGGCACAAGATTCACGCCGATAACCCAAACCCCATTTCTATAAACTGCAATAAAGTTACTATTTTAGCATCTACCGATCTCATTCAACGATTTTCTTGTTCATTTACGCATCTATCTTCTTCATCGCTTCAACTTTCCGACCTGTATTTCCAATTATATTGTGAAATTTTTGCAAGTTCATACAATAAAGCTCCTGTCGCCTGAGATTTTGAAATTCTGAGACCAGAGATGGCAGGAGGGAACACTTCAAAGCCTCCATCTTCCAACTCAGCCAATCCGAAGCCACAGACGCAGCCACAGCCACAGCCACAGACACCGCAGGCTGGTAATGCTTCCAACCGGACGCCCCGCTGGGAATCTCCGGGAAAACACCGCCCTCCCAAGGAATCCAAATCCTCCGGTTCTGGTTTAGCCGATAATAAACCCAAGCCCTCTCCTAAAACCGGCAAAGAAACTGCGTCGTTGGCGGCGAACGCAAATAAATCGCTGCAGCCTATGTCAAGATCCAATTATCGTTCACCTAAACCTGACCTAGATGCAACCTTATCTGCGTTGCCTCCGTTTCCTTTCCAAGATCCTCCGCCGCCTCCTACCTATGGGTTTCATATGCTCGAACGAAGGACCATCGCGCTTGCAGATGGTTCTGTTAGGCCTTACTACGCTTTGCCCTCGAATTATCCGGATTTCCCCTCTTTCCCATCTAGGGATTTCCGCGGCCCGGGATTAGGCTTAGATAGACAGTTTCCTATGAGTCCGGATTTCCGACCCGAGTTCAGGAACCGTGATAATCCGCTAATGTGGAACCGGAATCCGGATCATTGGAATTCTGTAGGGTTAGATGGGCCGGGTAGTGGTCCAGGGATGGGTCTGAGTGGGTTTGACAATAATCCAATGAAGAGGAAGTTCGGGGATGAAGCACTAGAAGTCCATGGTGGGCTTGAGAGGCAAAGGCAGCAGCTTTTGCAGCAAGGGAATGCTAGCAACTCCCCTGGGACTAGTGGGTTGTACAGGAGAGATGTAGGAGATTCTAGGCCTGCCAAATTTATGAGGTCTATTGAGGCTAATGTAGGTCAGCTTAAGCATCATAGTGTTGATCAAAATGCCTTAAAGAAGGCTTTTTTGCACCACATTAAGGTTATTTATGAAAACACAAACCAGAAGAATCGATATATGGCAGATGGAAAGCAGGGCCGCCTTCACTGTGCTGTCTGTGGCAGGTTTGGAAATAAATTAGGATCATTCTTTAAAAAATGGTCTATTCTCTTGTTCACTAGTTTCTGTATGTTAGATTTTGATTGTTGTTTGTTCTTTTTGAAACGGTAGGTTTTGATCTGCTATGAACAGGTGCTTGATCTACGTTTTTCTTTCCTGTTTTTAGTGATCGTGACCTTCATACATCCAACATAAAAGTTAACACTGAGACTGCATAGCGCTTGTTTCGTTTGGAGCATTCATATGCTGTGCATTTACATTAATAGCTATTATAGTACCCTACACACATGATAATAATAATCCTGTTTCAGGAATTTTTTTCTTTCCAAAAGTAGACTCCAACTTTAAAGGCTAAGTAGAGCATCCTAGTATGGCCAATTAGTTAGAGGTTTTGGCAAATTACTCCAAAAAATATTGCAAAAAAATCTTAAGGGTTATATGACCAATCATAGTTTGTTAAAACCTTGTTATGCGACAATTGGTATTAAGAAAATTTGTATATGTACTTGACCCTGATAATGTTCCTATCAATGTTGTCGAAAGAGAGTGCTTGGGCGCTTAAATGCATCAGGTGAGGCACAGATGTACCCTAGCGACTTAAAGGATGCCAGGCGCAGCAATCTGTCTTAGGCGCAAGTGCAGAAGCGCTGATGCGATAAAAAGCGCTAGCTTTATTTGCCAGAGGGGGGGAGGGGACACGTTTCCTCCTATTTTTTATGCTTTCGACTATTTTAAATAAGAAGCCTATATTTTTTAATTAGATAAAGCCCATCCAAATAGAAGGTCAAAAAAACTTAGACCTACGGTAAACCTTAAAAGTCTCAGTTATGCTCTTACTCACACTACCTCTCAGCTTTGAAAGCAGCACTACGATCAACCACATCAAGTTTTCATCTTCTTCATGGGGTGACGAAGGGGATGGCTTGACATGGGGTGCTGTGAGTAGAGCGATGGGAGCAGAAGAACCAATAAAATATACTACGAGGCAGTCCACAATTCATATTCCAAATACTAGTCATGTGGGTTAGCAGGTGATAGAGAAATTGAAGAAGATGTAGGAGAATATAAATCAGAAAATGGAGAAGAAACAAACTCCTCTTTTAATGACGAATAGTCCTTGCAAGTTTAAACAAGGGGAATTGGGCTAGGATCTAATTATGTTTTATATTTTGTTTTTGTGAACCATGACTTTGTTTTGGTGAATCATAACTTTATTTTGGTAATTCATGATTTTATTTCGGTGAATCATGACTTTATTTTTTAGAAACTCAAACTTTTAGTGCAGTAGGTTCAGTATGATGTTATATACATCATGTTTGATAATTATGTGTACTATTTTGCGCTTTGCGCCTCAGGCGATAGGAGTACTCTAGTGCCTTGACCGCGCCTTGCGACTTTGAGTATTGTGGTTCCTATTGTTTTTTGGTATCTTGCTTCTGTGCTGCTCACTACCATATGCTTCATAGTGAAACGTATCCACCATGCACGTGAATACTCACATTTTTTATGTATAAATCTAGGAATTTTTTGTAGTTGAGTTCAGTAATTTTATTCAGTTTAAACTGAATAATTTTGGTTCTGATTTTTCAGAGTTACCACTTCTACCAAAGGAATTAATAGGATTGTTGCATTCCGATTTATGAACTTCAGAGTTCAGACTAAGCATTCTTATCAATCTTGGTGTTGTTTTCTGTGATTTTTCTTTAAAGATATTCATGTTCGAGTCCCTTTTTCTTTTTAGTATTTCAGGACATTCAAGAGCTATTTGCATGATTTCATTTATATTATGGGATGTTTCATTACTTCCATCCATAGAAGATAATCTTGGTAATAAATCTGTGTGGGAAACGATCCTGGGTCAGTTGGTTGTGTGTGGTTATGTTTATATGCATACATGTTTTTATGCATTTTTGCTGGCTTTTCCTAGAAAAGTCAGTTGGGTTCTGTTTGAATTTATTCCAGTTGAACTTGTTTGTAGGATTTTCCTTCTCGACTGTTCCCGGCATATGTAAATACTTCCTGCAACTTTGTATTCTTGATATTGTTTGTACATTGAACAGAAACCAGTATCCATATTGCTCTATAATGCCCTAGATTTTTTAATTTATTTCATTACGGAGTTTTATTATGATTATTTTCCGTTTTTGGAGTATTTTAGATGTTAGTGTACATTTGAACATGAGCCTACACACTATTCCACAGCCTTTGAGTTGGATGTGTATATCAATGTGACTTTGGAGGAAAGTCTTAACTAGCTTAATAGCATATAGGAATAACAGTGAAGTAGGATGAAGTATAAGAACACTGAAAGGGCTTCTATTATCGTTAAGAAGCCAAAGGTCAAATGTGACCGTTTTCATAAGATTAGAAGGGGTTGAGCGGTTGAGTAGTTATTTACAGGGAAACAATGTGAAACTGAGATAATTAAATGATTAAGGTTCCCCTTCAAGGTGGAGGTCCTATGGTTCAGGACTCAGGACATGTGCCCTGGGGTAATTGTGCCATGACTATTCTTATTCTGATAGCGTGTAGGTTGCATGTAGTGGATGTCAATGTTTACGGTCGGGGGTTAAGGACAGAGAGGTGCCTACTTTCATCTATTGATGAGGTGGGCTGGCCTTATGGTTCCTACTAGGGCTTTCATTTTGGTCTTCATGTTTTTGCTGGCACTGATGCCTTGGTCAGGGCGTTTGGGCTATAATATTGCTTCACTAATATTTCCTAGTTTGAAGTTTGAGGGTCTTATGGAAAATTATTCTTTAGCCTTAAGTTATACGGAGTATATGTTTTTTAATGAGTAGAATCTTTTCTTTATTGGAGTTTTGGATCTTATAATGTGATTGAATGACATAGTAGTCTTACTTAAGTCTTTTATCATCTTGACACATGACATTGTCTCAAGCTTGTAACTTATAGTGTTTTCCAAGTTGTCTAAATAGTCATTGTTTTCAAAGATGTTCCCAAGGAACAAGGTGTACCAGGGGCAGTGTTTGTGTCTAATGAGGCCAAAGGTGGCCTCTGTTAACTAGGCTGCTGGTGCACCTTGATCTATAGAGTAGGTTCTCTCAAGTTGTGCCTTTGTGAAAGGTTCAATGACTTGTGTATGTTTATTTTATGTGATTATGTCTCATTAAATCTGAAACATATGTTTGTAAGTAAGTTAACGTATTTGAAGGATTTTGCTGAATATTTTAATAACAGAAAAAAATTGTCGATAGGAAATTAGGCAATGTCATTTCTTGCCTCCAGAACAAAATTAAATTGGGAAATAAGAGGAATATGTATCCTCTTGTTTCTAAATTATAACTTGTACTCCAGAAATATGATAATTATTGTTCATCGTAGGTTGCTAAGAAATAACCCAACTGGTTATCCAGTTAACTTTAAATGACCACTGATCAAATTACAGAGCATCGGAAATTTTCCTTACTTTATGCCTCAGTGCATCTTGTGCAGTTTTAACTATGGTATTATAAAACTGAAGAGCACTGCATTTTTATCTGTGTAGTAATTCTAGGCTTTTCCCTGGTATACATTCCCTGATATTCAATATTTAATATGCAGTGCTTCACAAGATTTCCCTGACATGCATAGCCTGATTATGCACTCATACAATTCAAACAACGCCGACTCAACCATAGAACATTTAGGGTTTCATAAAGCCTTGTGCTTTCTAATGGGATGGAACTATTCGGTACCTCCTAACCATTCAAAGGCGTACCAGATGTTATCTGCCGATGAAGCATCTGCTAATCAGAATGACTTGATCATGTGGCCTCCTTTGGTGATCATCCACAACACTATGACAGGAAAGCGTCCAGACGGCCGTATGGAGGGTTTGGGTAATAAAGTGATGGACAATTACCTTAGAGGCATGACCCACTCTCTTGCGTTTTTTTTACTGCTATTCATCCAGGAGATACTCATATTTTCAATTTTCATTAAAGAAAAATGAAGGGGGTGTGCGTTTAATGGAATGTTCACACATTTTTTCTTTCAGATCTAGGGTTTCACGGGGGAAAGTCAAAAGCAGTATATGGCAGAGAAGGTCATTTAGGAATTTCCCTTGTGAAGTTTTCCGGTGATCAAGCCGGTTTGAAAGAGGCTGTGAGGATGGCTGAATACTTCCTCAAAGACAACCGTGGGCGCAACGGTTGGGCCCGCGTGCAGCCCTTTACTACTTCAGGAGGGACGGATGAAGAGAACAATCCGGACCTAGTAAAGGTTGACCAGAGGACGGGGGAGAAGAAGAGAGTGTTCTATGGTTACCTGGCAACGGTATCTGATATGGAAAAGGTTGATTTTGAAACAAGGAAGAAGGTTTCTATTGAGAGCAGAAGAGAATTGCAGTCTTCTTCCTAATAAAACAAACCCCACATATGGTAACTCTTCTTCCGGCTAGGTTACAATTTCTCAATTTGCTTCCATCTTGCTTGTCTAGAAAAAGTACTGCCTGTTCACTTGATCTGAAGTTCACTTTTTTATTTGGGCTGATTTATTAATTCCGTGAACACAAATGATACATGTTGCTCTTTTTTATTAATGATTATAAGCTGGTGTTAATTCCATCCAATTTAGCTAGTTAGCTGTTCTGATTACTTGTTTCAATAACAGATCTGTTGGTTTTAGGACATAATCGACTTAAAATCCTTTGAGGGCGTGGGTTCATGCCTTAATGGGATGTAAGATATCCCTTATTAATAGGATTGCTTCCTCAAAAGTAATATGAGATTATGGGAAGACTAAGAGATAAACTTAAGCTCTTTTGTTCCTGGGTTGTGATATTACTTATGTTGCTAAGTAGCTACAGGAAACGTCGTGTTATAACTTATATAATTTAAAATATTAACAATGTATTCTTACAACAGCAAATGAGCAAACAATTCAATCACAGCACCTCCAGCTTCACTGTAGTGAACTGTGGTGGTTTTCCCATATGACCATTGGTGATCTGTAAACATTAGTCAGACAAGGTAATCTAATCTCACATTATGAAGGTGATGTGAGGTAACCTGAATGTAGGGTAATACGCAAGTGAAGAAAGGGCATACTCACCTTAGGAGTGGCATATTTTAGGTGAGATAGGGGATGGTTGCATATCATCTTATTTTTGTACGAGTGAAGAGTATTTGAGGGAATATTTGTTTTCCTAAATGTGGATGTCTCGTTTACCAAGACATGAACCTAGTCTGGGACCAGCTGTTTCCGATTAAGGCCAAGGGGGGAGCAGAACCTTAACTGGGTATACCGGTTCTTGAACTGAAAACACTGGTGCCCTGTTTGGCTTTCACTCTCCTAGACACGGTCTGCCCCATTTCGCTACCAAGGCTGGGAAATGCCCTTGCCTCAGGCAAGCTAGTTGGATTGATCAATAGCATTGTGTTTTATCTGGATGCATATTGTTTTGTAGTCATTGTGGGTTGACCGGGATGGGTTTTCTAAAAATCTCCATCTAACTCCGCCATATCCCCCCCCCCCCCCCCCCCCATTTGTAGGAGTTGTAGCCCAGGAGCTAGAATAAAGCCTCTCTAGTAGCACTATGCAGAACGCTCATCAAGACACTTTCAATGCTTTGTTCTCTTCATTTAATAATGCATCCCTGGGGAGTTAGTCCCAACTCCTAAGTCTCATACTATACTCATAATCCTTCATCTTTCGTGTTGGGTTCAAAAATGAAAGGGCAGGTTAGTCATTAGTGTAGTACTGTAGTATTTTGAAGGTTGCTTTGATTTAGTAATGCTTATTCATTACTCCCAACTCCTAAGTCTCATACTATACTCATAATCCTTCACCTTTCATGTTGGGTTCAACAATGAAAGGGCAGGTTGGTCATTAGTGTAGTGCTGTTGTATTTTGAAGGTTGTTTTGATTTAGTAATGCTTATTCATTACTACATACTATATTTTGTTATACCGGTCTGGGCCGGTAATGTGCATTCATTTGGTTATAGCCAATTCAGGTCTCTTGGTTTTGGCTGATTGTTTTCAAATTGAATCCCTTTGTTTGTTGTGCCTTGCTTTATTACTTTATCTTTTGTCTCTGTTGTGGTGTGAAAATCGGCACAGACAGATATATAATGTCATTCCAGCTTCTCACTTAAAAGAAATGAATGAATGAACATCTACATAGAATGGCAGAAACAAAGTGTTTGCATTAGGTTAAAAATAAAATAAAAATTAATTTTAGATCTCTTGTTCAACGATTCTGTCTTTGTCCGTTTGAACTTTGAACATCAATAATAATAATAATAGTGGAAATGTGTCAGGTTCACATGCGCTGTGGAATTGGTGCGTATATCTTTGTCTGCCAGACGCTTTTAGACCACACTAGTTGCAACTTTATCCACAACGATAATATAATAATAATAATAGAATATATTCATTCATATGGAATTTGGATGCTAACACCTATTAAGAGTTAAGACTGCAATTTATATCATTATATCAGAAGGATCAGGGCGTAGGGGTTAGATTGTCTTATTTTACCTTTTCGGTTTGTTTCAGTAAGATTGTCTTATATCAAATTCAGTAAATTTTTGTAGTTCTAGTTCTGAATCATTCTTATTTTATTCTTGTTTTATTAATTCAATATTAATCACATAAATCCATATTCCTTAATAATTGTATCAAATTCTTATTACCAATTAAAAACAAGAACTAATTAGTTGGATTGTCGTAACAAAATGTCATGTACCTGGTGTACAGTTTTAATAGCAAATTGTAGAATATTAACCATGTACTCGAAAGATAGCACCAAATTGATGTAAAGTAATTTCTCTTAGAGAAAAGTACGGAAAAGATACTTGTGGTTGGATTTGTTATCAGATGGGGTCATGTGTTTCGTTTTTTATCAAAGTGGTTTATGTGTTTGAATTTCGTTATAAAAAACGTCTGAGAAAGACGGTTAATTGTAACTCTGATTTTCAAGTGTCCGAAAAAGAATCGGAAGGTGCGTCTCGTCGAGAAGACCTCCAAATAACCTTTGCTTTTTGATTTTTTGGATCTTTTTGGATTATTTTGTAAAAAAGATTTCGCTAAAATCACTTTTTTTGGTGGACTTTCCGTTGACAAGGGTGTCTGGAAACAAAAAGGAAAGATGGTCTAACGTTTTTTTTATGATGCGCACTTTCCGGTATCTTTCTTTTAATTTTTCAGACACTTTTGAAAATCAGAGTGACTATTAACTGTTTTTCTTAGGCTGGGGATGGACCAGGACTGATCAGATCGGCACAGTACTGGAACCGGACCGCCAGTGTGTGGTACTAGTCCGGCCCGAATGATCGGGACCGGAATCGAGCCTTTGGCCTGACTCGGGGGGTTTTTGGGGCGGGTCATGGGATGCACTTGTCTTTGAACCGGCCCGGCCGGTCCGGGACCGGTCTGGGTCGATTTTTTTTTTTTTACATTTTTTCGCATGGATTGGGTGGTAGGCGGGTTGGGCTGGGTGGTTGTGGGTGTCAGGGGGTGGGTGAGGGTAGGAATAAATATGAAAAACAGAATTTAAAAAAAAAAATATATTACAGGTTTTTTTAATGACGTGTTTTTAACGCCCAATGCCCGACCCGAACCCAGTCCATCCCTATCACATGTGTTTTTAACGACGTGACTCTCTTGTGATAAAAAAAGAAACACATGACCCTATCCTAAAATGGGCATAACCAAAAGTACCTTTTACGTACTTTTTTTTATTATACATGTCTCATAGAATTTAAATAAGTTGCTTGAAATCATCGGTGTCAAACAAATAACTAAACTAACCAGACTTTTATGTGTTAAAATTGAAATTGATTGAATGAATTGAACCAATTGAAATGGATGAAGGTTTGTCTAATAAAGCAATTGAAATGGAATTTACAGTAATTTCAAACAACTCAGACAAAAAAATAAATTCATAAATTTAGTCTTACTTATTTTGAATAACACACTTCTTTCACAAAATCAAAAGGTTAAAAGATTACACGTTTAGTAAAAGAAATTATAGCAGTTGATAAATTGAAAACATGGATCACCAAAAGAGCTCTTAGATTTCTATGGGATAATCTGGTTATTTTAAAACATCCAAATTATTTAATTTATCAATTGAATTTAAGAATGGCATCGTTGCTGGTTTATAAGTTGGCTTTGGGAGACCGTTTTAGCAATCAAAAAAGTTAGAATGGGAGATGCGGTGGCCAAGAACCCTAGCAGCAATCTGGCACAGAGGATCTGAGCGGTTCTTCTAGGAGGGTTCAGATCGTCAAAGGCGACGACACTCTTAGGAGATTCGGTTAGGTTACTCTTGCTTTGCTTTCTTGTTTTCGAACGTATGTGTTCTTGTTCTGAGCATCTGTCCCGAGTTTTGATTCCGGCTTTAGTTGGTCGAGGTTGCAGTGTTTTGTTTCTGTTCTGTTAATGGTTGGGGTGCACTTCCTTGCTGCTGATTGAACTCTTCGCATTGGGTTTCAATTGATGGCTTTCAATTGACTTTTGTATTTACGGTCGGTGTTTTACTCCTTTGTTTGTGTTTGTGGTTTCGGTTTGTGTGGTTATGGAAATTGTTACGAAGAATGTTGGAATGATTTCAATTGTTGAGGAGGAAAATGGGGGTTTGGTGCTCGCAGCTGATCCAATTGAAAATGCTGATGTGACTAAAAAGGGAACCTGTCTAGCGGCTGTTGCCAGAGTGATTTCGGACAAACTCATTCGTGTTGTTTCTTTCTGCCAGACAATGTTTATGGTTTGGCGACCAGGGGAGTCTCAAATGATGAGATTGGGGATTCCAAATTCCTCTTACAGTTTTATCATGAAGGCGATTTGAGTAGGGTTATGGATGAAGGACCTTGATCATTTGAGCAAAATCTTGTTGTCATCAAACAAATGGGGCGTAGTGATAGACCACTTGAGATTCCCTAGATCATGCAGATTTTTGGATTCAGGTACACAATCTACCATTAAGCTACATGACGGAAAGTGTAGCACGCGGAATATCCAACAACATTGGATCGTTTGTGCAAGTGGCCGAAAGCTCTCTTGGTGGAAAACAGAGGTTGGTCCTGCGTATAAGAGTCGCTGTGAATATTACTAAGGCCTTGACCAGGCATTTACAGGTCAAGCAGGAGGGGGACAACTAGATATGGGCAGACTTTCGTTATGAGAGACTCCCAAATTTTTATTTTCTGTGTGGGATTCTTGGTCATGCTGATCGCTTCTGTCACTCTAATCCACATAGCGGCTCATGGATCAGGGAGAAGCCTTATGGGGCATGGCTAGGGACTGATACGAGGCGAGGGGGATCGCACCCGGGCAATAGGTGGCTTATTCCTAGCTACGATAAGCTAGGTGATAGGAGAGATGAGGGAGCAGAATCCGATAAAGCGACAAACGAACAAGAGAGCTATTTGGTGGAAGGGCTCCCTTAAAAGGGTAGAGAGGAGCAGACACAGGCAAGTATGGATGTGGATGAAACAACTCCAAAAAACTTGGAAGTGACGGTGTTGGCTGGGCAGCACAGCCAGTAGAGGATGATTTCAAGAATAAGCAGGAGGAACCTTTTGCGGGGGCTGGTCAAACCGCTCTTTCTTTGCTAGTGGTTAGGAAAAGTGGATTATGTTTTTTTCATTGATTTGTTGTCATATCAGAACTCTTTTGTGTTTTTGTGTGTTTCATTTTAGTAGCAGGTGCAACATCGCTGCGAATGGAGTCTATCACATCGCGGGGTTAGCGAGATGGACCGCTGTTAAGCGCTTTTCCAGCTCTGAGTCTCATCCCAGGATAATCTTTGTTATGGCGAACTTGTATCTGGTCCTCAATTTTAATATTAATTAAGTTATCTTTTGCCAAACAAAAGTTGGCTTTGAAAAGAATGTCACTAGAACAACATTACATTTGTCACAATGACAATTTCAAGTTTCTACATATGCAAATGTCACATTTTTATATGAAAATGTTAATAATCATTTTAAAATGACATCGTTTAATGTTTTGAAACCAACACATCCTTTATCCAAAAAAATTGAAACTGACACATTTTTACATCTTCAAAATACATGTGCATGGAGGTACATTTTTACATCTGCAAAATACATGTGCATGGAGGTAATTTTACACATAAGCATATGAAAGTGTCATACTTCAACAATTTGGCATTCTGGGGAGTCATGCTCTTGTTTAGACAACTCCTTTAGCCTGGGTTCAAAAGTGAAACAATACATTGAACCGTTAAAGCCAATATAACCAGACCCAGATCCTTACCCGGATGGATAATCTAGAGCACATTTGGTCACCTTCTTTCATGGCTTATCAGCAGGGGCGGATTCAGGATCGAGAGATGGGGTGGGCTAAGCAGAAGTAATTTTTTTACAATACATACCAAATTTAGCCCAGAGTTGTTATCGAACAAAGATTTTTTTGAATTATATACTCGAGTTCGAGCTTGATTTCGAATCTAATTTAATGAATTGAGTTTAACAAGTTTCGAACTCGAACACGGAGTAGGTTTTGAGTTTGAATAATTATTCAAGCCGAGATCGAACATAGTGATGTTTCGATCCGAACACGAGCCTATCGTTCACATATAAATTATACTATTGTACATATCATAAAATTTAAACGTTTTAGTGCAATTTTTATAAATTTATTAATAATTAATAAAAATTTGAATAGTTATTGAATAATTTGAACATGAATCAATTAACGAGAATAGTCTAAACTTCTACATTCGAGCATGTCTATCGAGCATTGAAATCCAAATTTGAGATAGTTTGGATTTCAGGGACTACATCATGTGGAGGATCCTCATTGACTAGATCTTGCACTGTTGTTGGTATAGGTTCAGAACTCCTTTCACCAGTTTGACGATTCACTTTCGAAAAGAATGATGAAATCAACTTCTTTCCCTTCTTGGCAACATGTTCATTATCCATTCTAAAAAACATTTTCAATGTTGGTATATATTAAAATACTTATATATAAAAAATAAAACTATTTAATTATGTACTGAAAAATTCAATTAATAATCAAAACGATTGTATGATTCCCTAGCCCTAAAACTCTAAAATGCTAAAAATAATAATAATTAATACATTAATAGTTTAATACACAATCGGTTAATCACAGTTTACAAATTCACGGCAGAAGTTCATAACTTCACTGATTCACAAATTATTTGTGGGGTGGGCTGACAAATAATTTAGGCTGGGCTGAGATTTGAAAATGTACCAATACTATTAAAAAAAAAATTGGACTGGGCTGAAGCCCACCCCTGGCCTAGCACACATCCGCCCCTGCTTATCAGGTTTATCAGCCAACTTTTTCACCAAACACGTATTTTTTGATTTCGCGCGCTGAAGTTTGTAATAAGCAGAAAAGGTAAGGTTGAAGTCATTTTTCTGGCTGTTTTGGCTGAAGTTGCTGTAGAGGGTCATTTTAGCTATATTTTCATATATTTTTTATATAATTTATTAATAACAAATATTTTAAATATAATTTTTTCATGGATCAGAATCAGTTAATACAACGACTTCAGTCAGAACTTCATAAATTTCAGCAGAATCAGTCAATTCAGACAATTTTAGTGTTACCAAACGAGATGTTGAATCACCAACCCTTCTTCTCCCTTCCAATTATGTTACTTGAGTGTTCACTTGTTAGTCGAGTGCACCACAATGTTTTGATTCAAAAATGCTTGGTGTTTTGTACAATTTGTTTTGTTGACATTTCCAAGATTTTTGTTTGCCCATAGACTTACACGCCCCGAATGTTATTTATGAGTTAGAATGGATTTTGTTCACATAGATGTTTTTCCTTTTGCATAGACAAACTTGATCCAAAAAGGTGGAATCTCCCACTTCTAGAGTCCCACACCTCGACCCGACAGAGCACGTGGGAGAATGTAAATCACGGTGACTCAGTCAGCGAAGTGGTAGTAGGTTCATAAACCTGTGCGCGCCAAAGGTCCGACCCATTTTAGAGATTGTAACCTCCACGCGGTCGTTGCGGGATTCGAACCGTGATCCCTTGATTCAAATTAGACAAACTTATTCAGACAAAAAATATATACGGAGTGGATAATAATGTTTGTGACAAGCTTTTTGTTTGTGTAAAGAAGAAACTATGTTGACCAATTGCATTTTCCCAATGATAATAAGTTGGGAGAAAGACATGAATAAGATTAAAACAATAGCACGGAACTTAAATAGGAGTCAACACTTTTTTACTCTTGAATAAGACTACTTTCATGTTAAGAGAAAAAAATGCCCCCACCTTCACAGAAGCTTGTTGGAGAAAGAAAAAATAATTCAAACTTTAATTATATCAAAGATTCCTCCGCTTGGTGTCACTACTCAC